TTTTAAGTTTTTTAATTGACTACTTAAACCGTTTGAAACTGATCTGTGCAAACAAAATTTGAATATCTTCAAAATGACCAAAGTTACAGGAGTAAAAAGCCTAATTAATAGTCGTAGCGGCAGACTTCAAATATAGCAAAAACGTTTCAAATAATGATAGAAGCAAACCACTTCGTATAGTTGGTCTATATACAATATACATAAACAATCGATTTGACCCGCAGCACCTTATTTCAAGTGGCGTCAAATTCAAAATGGCGGCGTATTTAGAAAATTTTTGATTTTAAATGTTGTTTTTGCTATGAGCGTGGGGAAATGGCATTTTCCGTACTGTTTTCAGTGCGGAAAATCGATTTTCCGCACTGTTTAACAATGCGGAAAATGCAATTTACGCACGCGCGTAGAAAAAAAAATCCGCACGGCTGTCAAAAAAATAATAATACATTTGTACAAATTATGTAGAAATACTTATTTCTTCGCGTCTGCTATGCGTCGTTCGGTAAACGGCAGACTCGTGCGGAAGATTTCATTTTCCGCACTTCTTAGATAATCTATTCAGAATTTGTGGTCCAAAGGTACAGGTAAAATTTATCACCTCTCAATGCTATTTGATAGGGAAAGGTGATAAATTTACCTGTACCTTTGGACTACACATGGTGAATAGGATATATTTTTGTTTTATGTGGAAAATGTTTTCTAATTAATAATCTAAATAGGTAAATATACTTTGGAATCAAATAATAAAAAAAAACAATACTACAATAAATGAAATTAAAGGCGCCATTTAATTTTCTTTCAATTAGGTACTAGTTGCGTGCAAATTCCCTACCATACCTACATGCGCAAAATATAAAGCAAGTTCGTACAGAAGTACCTACCAAGCACTGAAAGAAAGTTTTGTGCAGTGTGGTAATCCTTTTGAAGAGCAAGTAACGTTCCTTGTTGCAATTGACACGAGGTTTATTGTCAATCAGGAATGCGTGAAAACCCTATACAATGCTGAAATAGAAGGTTTGAAGACATACAATACTTTCGTAAAAGAACGAATTTTAGGCAAAACCGTTCCATTGTGTGAAAACATTGAAGAACATTCTCTGTCTATTTTTGCATCCAAAAATACGGTGAAAAAGTCTGAAATGAAATGTACAATTCAGTCACCCAAACTGGACTACTAGCTATTTTCCAGACTATTCATTGCAAGTATTTTCCGTGACTTGGATTTAAATACATTCTTTCAGTATAAAAATCAGGAATGCCCACCATCTCTATCTCAAAACGGAGAATTACGACGTGGCCAAAAAGTGACCTCACCAATATTTTGGAAGGTAATCTGTTTTTAATTACGTGTATTAAGTTTAACCAATTTACTTTTCTGTTTTTGTAGAACTGGTACCTAACGGTACTGATCCAAAATTATGTGATGGTATTGTTTACGACGGAGCAGCTCCTTTTCATTTTGTTGCTCCTCATAATAGCAGAACATTTCAAGAATATTTTGAATTAGAGCTAAAACCTTACGTTGAAAAAGATGCAGCAAAAATGGGAGCTCTACGCCAAGAACGAGGACATGGCATTCGCCGCCAAGTAACCGGTGCTACTAGACTTCTACAAAACTCGCTGGATTTTTTAAGAAACTCAAAGTCATTGAACAAAATTGATCTCTTTAATTTTTTAGCAAAATCTTTTATTGCAGTAGAAGGCAAGGTGACAACATAGGTGACACAATCCACTCGTCAGCAAACGTGAATTCGTCACTCAGTGGTCTAAAATGTAGTAATAAAGAGGAAGCAGATGACAGAATGATATCAATATTACATTTAAAGAACACAAGCGTCTGCGGATCACACGGAGGCAACGCCACGAATATGGTCGAAAGTGTACGAACGAAACTTTTAAAATTTGGCGCGACGCAACAAACGGCGGTTCACTAGCATTTTTCTTTACCGTCTCTTTATTTATTTGACACAAAATTATTATAGTTATTTACCTAACAAATGCGGAAAGTGATACTTTACCGCACGCAACGGCAGTTGACCGAACGACGCGAAGCGGAGTTCGGTCAAGCCGTTAAGGGCGGTAAAGGCACTTTCCGCATGTGTTAGGTACAAAATTTTACCTATGAGCATCTACATCTCCAAAAAAAGACATTTATAAAATTAATTAATGAATCAGATTAATTAATGAAATTAGATAAGATTTAGAAATGATCAAAAATCCATTTTCTGAAAAAGAGAGGATTTTTGATTATAAATATCAAATTCTACTTTACCGCACACTATGCGGTAAAGTGCACTTTACCGCACACTTTGATTTCACTTTACCGCATACTATGCTGTAAAGTTAACTTTACCGCACACTATGCGGTAAAGTACACTTTACCGCATAGTGTGCGGTAAAGTGATACTTTCCTTTTGCAAATACGTGCGGTAAAGTTCACTTTACCGCACGCTCGTAGGTAAACACATTAAATTTACATTACGTAGGTATTACGGTTACATAAACAGGCTTTATTGAATATTGAGTCGCTCGCAAGCTCGCTCGGTCATAAAATTATTCGTACTATAAAGCCTTTCTTTATTGTACCTACTTGTTATTTAATGCTATTTATATAAATAGCTATTATTCAACAATCTAGATTAAACACTGTGTCTTGCCAAATCTTACAGAAACAGCTTGGTTGTGATACAGCCTACAATCAACTGTGAAGGGCGAAGGGCCATGTATCATTGGATTGTTCCACCTGACTTATCAATTATTTTCGCTTGATACCCCATCCCGAAAAAATTAATTCTCATTAGTCTTTCTAAAATTTTTAGGTAAATATTATCGTTATTTTACGAAATGGAAATTGCAAAATAATCCTAGAATATAACAAAATAGCTATTAATTATTCATCAGGATTCAGGACAAGGAGGCGGAGGCGTCAAACAACAAGCAGCAAAAACGTTATGGGCGCTGTATTCGTGGCGTTGCCTCCGTGTGATCCGCAGACGCTTGTTTAAAGAACAAGGTGCAGCAAGGCTCTCAGAATCTAGTAGTATGCGGACAGTTTATACTGATGTGATGTATAGCTTTTTATTCATGACTCAAATCTCTTGGTACCCAAAATCTATGGGTTCTCTTTGGATCAGATTTAAAGAGACGATATTTGTCAGTACACTTTATAGCAGGTAAGTCGCTCTCCCCTCTAATCTACAAAATATCATTAATACACTTAACTTAAATAAATTCATATATTAGATATTCTTGGCGATAAGGCTAGTGCTCTTCCGGGGTTACATGCTTTTACAGGGTGTGATACAGTGTCTTTCTTTTCTTATAAAAGAAAAAAAGTCTTCCTGGAAAACATGGAATTCCCAAAGCAATATTGCAATAACCAAAGCATTTAAAGCGAATTCATGCCCACTGCCTTCCATTCCGGAAAATGTCATAAAAACCTGTGGCATGGGGCTGCCATGAAAAAAACACAATGTGGACACCTCTATGGTCTGCTCTTTCAAGTATTTGGGAGACTTGTCAAGAGCTAACTAGATGCTCTCTTGTGAAATAGGATGCAGCAGTCATCGCTGTAAATGCAGAAGAAGTGGCCTTCCATGTACTCTGCAATGCACTTACTGCAAAGACATGGTGCACCAACAAGATAACTGAAAAGTTATAGTAAGTAGGTACTTTCAAATATTTTCATTTTAAATTAAAACCAATTGTTAACCATTCTTATTTTGTTTTGCAATTTGGAAAATTCGGAGGACTACGAATACCTACTATCCTTCCAATTATTTCTATGTTCTATGCTTTCATGAACTTAGCTACACCGCCATTTTGAATAGTCACCCGAAATTGTGATTTTATTTTGAAATGTGCTTTTATTTTACATCATTAAAATACCAATTTGGTTTTTATTTGATATTAATCCCATTAGTCCTATAAGAAAAAACTTCAGTAGCGCCATTTTGAAAAAATCCGCCATCTTGAATATGACGCCACTCCTGATAGGGTGCTGCGGGTCAAATTAAAGTATTATATGTAAGGAAACTTTCTGCCAAGCGGTTTGCTTCTATCACGATTTGAAACGTTTTTCCGTGTACCGTTACGACTATAATACTATGTGACGTCATTCCGTAGTATCGCCATAAGCCAATGCGAGTAAGAGTAGTAAGACAGAAACGTCAACATAGATTGTATTTCTGAAGAGATTCGAAAAAATTCAGCGGAAATGTCATTATTCACATTGGAACCTTTCATTTATTTGATTCAATTTAATAACTGTTATTTTATCAAAGTTCCCTACCTATTCCTTTTTTGGGAGTCCTTGTAAGTATAGGTTTCTTGGTGCGCGTAGCTGGGATGGATTTAGGCAGAGTTCTATTGCTGGAATAAAATCTTCGGAGTCGGTATTTGTATCTGCTTTACCCGAGGACTCATCTAATCAGAAGCCAACAAAACTAGGACTTTTTAAATGACATATTTTTCCTTTAGCTTTACCATAACCTAAGGAGATATTTTTGTAATATCATTTTTGGTAAATTTATTGGAAAAATCTTTCTAATCCAATGAGTTTATTGCTTCAGGTGGAATAATACACTCGAGAATACATTTGAATTCATAAGAATACATAGAACATACGTAATGCATTGGATTACATAAGAAAATAAGAATACATGAGATTACATGAGGCTTGTACACTGAAATACATAGGCGGTTTACCCCTCGGATGAGTATTTGCTTGAGCATTTCCATATGTTCTGTGGAGATAAGAGACATTTTCAATAGCAATAGGGTCGTAGATAGTGAGAATTTGGTGCTCGTTACACAATGGTTTGCAGTGAGCACGCCTATCAGCCCTACATATTATTCTCAAAGCTCTTTTTTGATTGATTGATTTGATACTGATAATAACTTCTATGTAATCTTATTCAAGTGTTCTTTCCATTTCAGATTTCAGATCTCGATCAATATCTATTCCCAGAAATTTGTAATTTAAAACGCATTGTATTGAGTTTTCATCTTATCCTCGAAGTTATGTGTTGCTTTTTTGAAAAGGTCATCAATTTTGTTTTGTCTACATTCAATACCAAGTTATTGATGTTAAACCATACCTTAATCACTCTCATGTCTTTATTCATCACTGTGTCCATAGTCACATCATTCATTCCACTCCAGCAGACTGAGGTATCATCGGCAAACAGAGTTTTCCTGAGATATTCACAAACAGTAAAAACAATAGAGGACCATGCACTAATTTCTGCGGCACTCCATGGGTTACATCTTGTATTTTTGATCGATGATATAGTTATCATCAGGTCCTAGACGCAGTCGAATGCTTTGGCTAAGTCGCAAAAACTATCTGATTTCTCTCATTTAATCCTTTATAAACTTCTTCCATATGGCATGAGTAAGTAGCATTCTGGACAAATTCTCACAAAAAAACTTTCACGTACCCAGAGGTCTGTAGACCTTTATCACAGAGAAGTTCGACCTTTCGAAATAAGCACAGGATAATTCGAAATCTTCATCCCTATTCAACTCTGAAAAATTATCAACATCAATAAAATCAATATTGGTTAATGCCAAAACAGCAGAGACCCCTCCCCTATCCCTTGTATGTGTTTCGTGAATAAAAGGAGATCATCTTATAACATGGCAATACCAAGGGTTCTTGTGGCTTCACCTGCTTCAAGCCATGCTCAGTCAAACCAGACAATGGAGGCAATTTAACTTCATCCAAAAAATTCCAAACATTAATTTCTAATACCTACTACAAATATTCAATGACAAGATAGAAAGATCAGCCTTAACGCCTCTGCCTAATTGATAAAAATTCCTGTATCTAAAAAATCATTTTGTTCATATGTAGGATGGAGAACCCTTTCACTTCAAATATACATTCCATTGTTTACTAAAATATCTATGTAGACCAAATTCATGATACTATTTACTATCGCATTCTTAGTCAGTAATATACTATTTTCATATCTACACAACACATTCTACAAGACTATGCATACATTTATTCAATTTATTAGTACCTATATAAAAATAATTCAATTGTTAAACTCGTGGATAGATTGATTTATAAGAGCATTTGAAAAATAATGAGGAAGAGTGGTGCAGATAATGTTAGTGTGTGTGCACACAACTTATTATCTATTTCACAGAAAGAGGGAGAACTATATCATTAAACCCACCATGGTTTATTAAAAAATCTTTGAGAGTAAAGTTGTTTATTACAATTCAGATTTAAGACATCCAATGGTTCCTTTTTCACTACATAATATCAGCCATGTACCGATGATTACATTTTTTTTGTAGCCAGCTCTTTGAACATGGTGTTAACGGATATCGTAGTGTCAATTGTGTTGGTATAAAGTTGTTTTTGTTGTTGTAGAGAACCTCCATTATAATTTATAGACTGGATTAATATATATGGACATACTCCTAAACTTTATGTTGCCCAATGCTGCTAAATGGAAAATGCCTTTTGTGCTTCGACAGAACAACAACCTCAAACACTCATCTCGCCTTATTTTGGGAGTGGTTTCATTCCAATGTCCAGGTTCCGCAGCGGCCGGATCTTAACTTAATTGCATTGGGAATCTGTTGGAAGAGGTTGGCACATCGTAAGCGGACTTCAACATTCTCTAACGAACAGTCTTCATTCAATAATTCATAAGAAATTATAGATGAATATACATATTATCACTATATTCAAAATTCAATTTCATCAATGTCGCATGTTTCAAAAAGTTATAGCAAAAATGGTATCCTATTGCTATAATCAATTGCTAGATAAGAATGGTTTTATTGCTCGGTATAAAGGTATAGTTTAAACGAAGTCAATCCGAACAGCATAAAAAATGTAACCGTCTAGGTCTTCACAAAATTGGGTCATTTTCATCGGGATATTGGTAAACTAGGCAGTGCCGGTACTCTTTTATTTCGCTGTTCGGATTGACTTTGTATGAGCAATAACCTTATCATCATCAATTCATTCGGCTTTGTTTACACATATGACAATCAGCTCTTGTCCAATCAAAACTGCTCTACCTTGCGTATTTTAATCGTTGGAACAATGCTGCTGACTTAAATGAGTTTCGCTCAACGCGCCTTATTGATTGGCGACTCAGCTATAAATGAAGCAGAAGCACAAAGCACATTTTTGGCCTTCTGTGTTTGCCAGACTCGACTGCGCCTCGCCTGTGAACTTACACAGTTAGCCGAGAATGTGTAATTTTTCCACTTAAATAAACAATTATGCCCGACCTTGTACGATAAGGGAGAAATTCATATAATCAGCATCATAAACAACAAAGTTACCTACTATTTATTTCTTTTACATTCTTGAGCGAGTTTCTCTCAACCGTAACCAAACCTGCTTAAAAATTAATCATATATTTTTTTAAACACTCGTGTTATTACCACGTATTACTCCCATGTCAGAGCAGGTGAAGGTTGCAACAGATAGCATGCTCGAGTCAGTATCAAATAACCTGAGTCAGTTTAACGCTAAAAAGAACCACATCGCAATCTTGTGCCGAATTTACTACCCTTAGTTACACAGGTGCTTTAATTAACATTCTGGGAAAAAAAAACAAAACATTTGAATGAATAAATATGTAATGAAAAAAAAATCAAAATTATTCTTCAACTGCTCACTCTCCAAAAGTACAATTTTGTATCGTCCGCCACACAAACAATAGGATGAAGGTAGTGCCATTGAACATTTGAGGGCAGACTAACCTGGGCGCTAAGCTTCAAAGTTTGGGTGACTGTTTGGACAACTTTTAGGGAACCATCCAGACTGTTTACTGCTGCCAATAACTCACCTTGTGGAGAAAATTGGATTGTGCCGCCGTTTTCAGGAAAAATAATTGTGCTATTTTGGGGCAAACTAGAACAAAATAACAATAATAACTAAGATCAAAAAATTGAAATTATATTATGCTCTTACAAAGGTTTAGTAAGGTCCCACAACAACAATTCCCCCAGTTGAAGTGTAGCTAAAATTTGACTATCTGAAGGTGCCCAATGAGCTGAACACAATGATTTAGCGAAATCCAAAGAAAGAATTGGCGTCTCCGTTTCCACATTATAGAACTTTACAATTCCCAATTTTTCTGCTACCAATAGTTTTTTGGGATCAGATCTGTGCCATGCGACAACCATAGCAGGGGAATCCACATTGAAAGTGGCTTTCAACTGAAACCCATCTGTATACCATAATTTTACTGTATTATCATCACTGGTAGATGCTAAATATTTGTTTTCGAAATCGAACCTGACATCATTAATGTAACTTTCGTGACCCTCAAGCACCTAAAAGAATTTTTAAATTTATAATTATTTGAGACTTAAGAATAACTACCATGTTTATACTTTCTCTTAAAGTTTCCAGAGTCCAGATTTGTTCATTATATACATAAGCGACATTGTAAAATGGACAAAAAAATTGTATATCGTCGTTGATACTCCAATAGGTCATATGTCATAAATTTTTCAATATCATGTTGTTGTTGGATACACACTCAGAACAAACTACTTTATAGCACAGAAAAACATCTTATGTCTCTGGCCAATCAGAAACGCGTATTTCAATATTGAAATTTATCACATGTCGTTAGCGTCGTGGAATTGGGTATTACCAATTGGTCCTATATCATTTATAAAAACAAGACCACATAATGTTTCCATTTTCGTAGAAGTTTCTGGGATAATTTTATGGTTTTTGAGTCAATTAAAGATAAGATTAATATTGCCCTCGATATTGCCATTATATTTTCAAAAGGGAGTGACTACTGCACTGTCCAGACAGTGCCGACTGAAAACTATCTGCACTGACCAGACAGTGCCGACTAAAAACTGATGTATCACGACTGTCACTGAGTATCAACGTAATCAACGACCATATGTATATTGTAAATGATCTACAACACATAGTCAAAACCATAAATAAAGAACTGAGATCCACTTCAAGATGGTTACAATCAATGACGTCACAATACAACAATCTCAAGTTAAATATTGAGAAGAGTACGTTTATGATAGTGAAAAAAACGGATACTGTGTGAGAGGATCAATTACCTCACGGTATAGAAAGAGATGGAATTCAAATAGTAAAAGTGACTGAATTATAAACCAATTAATAATATTTTTATTTTATTAAAGAATAAAGGCAGGTAAGGGGTAAGGTCAACATATATACTTAAGTGGGTCAAACCTATAGAGATTTTCACAAAGCAAAAACCAAATTGTTCTTCAATAATAATAATTCTATTATATGCGAGAATCAAGGGGACAATATTGCTGAAAAATATCTGTTCAAAAACTTTAGGGATAACATTTATATTACTAGTCGGATCAGGTAGGTAACTTTTTATATTACCTTTATCTCCGCCTAGCACTAGCACTATTTTTTCAGAGGTCTGAAAATGTACTCTCTTTCTTATGATTCAAGAGATGATTCAGTAAAGATAATATACAGAGATCTAGAGAATAGATGTTGAATGATGTTACGACAGAAGCTAATATATTCACATTTACCAATATTTACGCCTAAATGCACCGTAAGGACTTAATCCATATTAGTAGCTAAAACCAGATTAGGACTTTTTTTAAATGCAAATTTTTGAACTAGGCGAGATTAAACTCCCAAATCCATACGGTGCATACGGGCGTTAGTGATTAGCCTATTATCTTCACATAAAGTTTGGATTTTATCTACATTCCTCTGTAGAAATATTGCATCATTTTCGTTTTCAATAATTTTTAAGATTTTTAGATCATCTGCATATAGTAACAGCTATGAATTACCTACATAAGTTGATATGTAATTAACAAACAACACAATGAGCAGAGGTCCAAGAGAATGGAACCATGAGGTACTCCAGACATGGCCACATAGCTCTGAGAGTTAGCTTCATCAAATTTGACAGTGTGAGGCCTATCGCCAATGTAAGAGACCAAATAACTCATCAGATTATCACTAAATGAGAATTTCCTGATTTCCTTATAAAGACATCATGGCACACCTTGTCAACTGTCTCCGCTAGGTCTGTGCACACAACATCAACATGTAGGCCACTATTTACATGTTTAGCCAAAAGCTCCGCAAACACACTAAGATTGGTTGTCTTTGATTTGCCTTATAAAACCCATGTTGTTGAGGCAGAATAAAATGTTAAGACATGATTAAAAATTTGTTTGTGTAGTATTTTTTCAAATATTTTTGAAACCGCTGGTAAAACGGAAACTGGTCTGTAATAACTTATCAGACTTGTATCTTCTGATTTATGAATAGGAGTATCTCTACCATTCTTTAACTTGTCGGGAAAACATGTATCCAGCGATTTGGTTATTAATATTTGAATTGGGGTTATCAAGAGATCTCAATAGGCTCGAAAAAAAATGGGTGGGGACGCTCTAGGTTTCAAAGACTTTATGGCTTCCACTATATCTTCCATCTATTTTTAATATGTCAAGTTGATAGTTTGTATTTATTAAGTTTTCCCAATTTTCTGGGTGATCTGCCTTTGTATACACATCTTGAAAGTACCTATGTAGAAAAAGCATTTGCAATGGAGGTACTCTCAGTGAAACTGGTGCCATTATTATGCAAAATTATGGCAGATATTATTGTTTAGAAATATTGAGGATTTTGATATACATATAGTGCTCTCAATATTTTTTAGATATTTACTATCATATTCGCTAATCAATTTTCTCTCTCTGTCTCTGATATTGATTTAACAATTTTTTACCTCCTCTCAGTACAACGAAAACCGTGGGAAACTAAAAGGGTTGTTGTTTTGCCCTAAAAACAACTAGCATCACAAACAGACTTCGAACATAGACAAAATGACGGAGAATCAGTCCAGACTTGTACGGCGCCACTCTAGAAGAGTTGGACATGATTTTAAGCCAAGATTCAATTCCTGCGGCCGTATCAGAGTCAGATTTTAACGAGCCTGAAGCCCCATTTGCCGCAACAAGTCTGAATCCGCCCGCCACAGCGGAGCTTGATTTTCTACGCTCGCTTTTTGCGGAACTTGAAGAATATACAATGCAAAAAGACGCCGAAGCTAAGAAAAGCTTATTTCTCGATAAGACCTTGATAAACCGTGTCTTCGGTATGTTGATCTGAGTTCTCCGAGCTTAAATTTACCGTTTGTTCATTTCATAATAGGCCGTCGGCGGACAAGCGTTTGCGTTCAAAAACCCGGTATTGACGTATAATTTATTGAGACTAGTATCACATGATTCAGCATATTTTTCTCCATAGAAAATCGAAATGGACGACTTTTTTCATTGGTCGAGAGCTAAGTTAGGAACAAAAAACTAAAAATATTCGGGAATTAAAATTTTCAACTTTAACCTCGTACAACTTCTAAACCGCTTGAGGTAATAAAATGATTTTTCGTCTAGATTCAAGAAAAACTTATTCTCTTCAATATGGTGTATATATTATTTGAAAAATTTCAAAGTAAAGCTCAAAAAATTAGTTATTACGTAGACACGGCGCGAATCGGTAAATTATATATTTGCTTTAACCTGCGATAACTCCTTTATATATTGGAGTATTCAATTCATTTTTCGCTCAAAAACTGGCAAATTTAATTGGCTTTCTTTTGACTCAATTATATACCTACCTATTTTCAATAATAAACTCAATAGAGCCATTTAAAGACGATGGCGCACGGTCCGATGCCGACGGCAGAGTTGCGTTGACTACGTCTCTGACCTCGTACACCGACCGCACGTGGGTCCAAATAGTTACCAATATTCCCAATTATTCCTGCTGGCAGTGTTGGCAAAGCTCCCATTATTCCAGCGTTTGTATTGTATTATTATAGTTAATGTATATTGTTGATAGTGTAGTGTAATGTAATGTACTGTACTCAATATTTTTGTGTTATGAAGGTAAGAAGTAAGTATTGATTTTATTGAGGAAAAATGATAAACAAAAGTACAATACTCGGTAAATATAAATGAACATAAAAGGTTTGATAATTTCTAAATATTTAACAAAACTCTAATAAGTCGTCTTCAGCGTCGTCTAACAACTCTACGACCTCAATGTTAGTGCACTTCATATTGCACTTGCAATCACTCGAGCAAAAAACTCCTTCAGATTTACAGGCACATTTGCTATTGTTGCAATTCTTTTCTGTACAAAATAGGCTAATAACTTTTCGTATTTCATCTGGAATGGGCGTCTTATTGGTGAATTTTGGCGAAAGGCAGTTATTTGTATCAATTGTCCATCCATAATTTTTCGGGTCTAATCCTAATCTATCAACTAAGCCAATATGACTCATTGTCCAGAGACGAACTTGATAATAACATCTGTAAAACCAAAGTAGAAATGCTTAAAATACATTTAGTACGTCTATTAGTTGTGGTAATATAAGGTCTGTTTCTACAGAAATCACAAACCGGTTAGAGCGAATTTCATTGGTTGAAAACAGTCAGGTAACTAGTTTCAACAAATGAAATTCACTCTGACAAGTTTGTGATTTCTACAGAAACAGACTTATAATCACATTCAATATAGTTATTTTCCTAACAAGTGCGCAAAGTGTTACTTTTCCGCACGCAAACACAGTTATACGAACGACGCGAAGCGGAGTTCGGATACGTGTTTGCGTGCGGAAAAGACACTTTGCGCACGTGTTAGGAACAAAATTTTTCCTACGAGCTTCATATCAGGTAGGTAACAACAAAAATTTAAAAAAAAAACGATAATTTGTTTAATTATTTTTAATTAACTTGAAGGGAACCTATGCATTTATCAAAAAATTACATAACAAAAAAAAAATATAACAGAAAATCATCGTCAGAGCTCTTCATCTTAAAGCGTTTAATGGCGATTTCCATTTGTCATCAGTGCCGCACTGAGTGCATCCGCATCTTTTTCTAAAAGCATGTAACATGTAAGGATAAGGATACATTTTTTTGCCCTGTTTCGACAAATGGAAAATGCTATAAATTTGATGAGAAAGTTTGTAGATGCATATATATAGAAAACAAATCTGACAATGTGTTGAAGTTAATTAAATTTGGTGTTTGTAGGTATAGATGTTAGCTGGAACAGGAACAGAGGAAAAATTTGTCATCATGTGTCAAAGTCGACAGGTGTACTTATTGTTGCTTGACAATTATTTTTACTTTTCGGCACTCAGTGCGGATAAGGCCTGTATCCGCACTGAGTGCGGAAAAGTGCAACTTTGAGAACCGAAATGCGTGCGGAAAAGTACTACTTTGCGCACGCTCGTAGGAAAATTGATTTTCCTACGAACGTGCGGTAAGTAATCATAAACCGCTCAAATTTGCGAGTGGAAAATTGTACTTTTCGGCACTATAGGGCAACATAGTAAGTTTTCCCACAGCAATACGTGCGGTAAGAACTACACCCAACACGTGCGAAAAGTGTCTTTTCCGCTTAATACTTGCCCCCACTCGTGTGCAGAAAAAAAATATATTACT